AACTGCGGGGAACTCTGCAAAAAACGCATCTTCGCACGGGCAGCCCGTGCGTTGGCCATTTTTTTGATCGTTACATCCATGTAATTCCATATTGACGTTCACATGCCTTATTCCATCCTCGATTTATATATGCGACTTTCCCCCCTGTTCATTTCTCACTGCTTTGGGTACCATTCATTATTCCGCTTTGTCCATCTGTTGTCTCTCATTCTCTTGCCAAACGGCACTCTTCCTTTTTGACATACCTGGCTTGATAATATCGCTTATGCAAAATTGCGGTAGTTCATCGATAAGGTAAAAGTTAAAATGCTAAAATTGTTTTAACTTGCGAAAAGTTCTTGTAATGTAAATTCTGCGAAAATTTAAAAAAAAATTGCGAAAATTCGTGGTGAAACTTTTATTTACTTTTTGGTGTAAATTCTGCGAGAATTTAAAAGAAATCACGAGAATTCGTGGTAAACTTTCATTTATTTTTTTAATGTAAATTCTGCGAAAATTTAAAAGAGATCACGAAAATTCGTGGTAAACTTATTTTTTAATGTAAATTTCGCGAAAATTTAAAAGAAGTCACGAAAATTCGTGGTAAACTTTTATTTATTTTTTAGTGTAAATTCTGCGAAAATTTAAAAGAAATCGCGAAAATTCGTGATAAAAATATTCGGCTATTTTCGATGATTTCCAGGGATATGGCCAAAAATATGCTGCTATAAAAGGGCCAAGTGTAAAAAAAAAACCAAACAATGTCACAAGGAACCGGTGGACAACGGGCTTTTGCTGCGAAACGAAGCAAGTAGGTATTTCTTGGTTTTGCATATAAGCTTGGCATACATACAGACAAACGACATTCGTACATGCAAATGCACACATACATAGACCCATACAGACACACACATGCACACACACACACACACACACATGCACACATACAAATTCCCACAAATACACATCTTACACATACATACACACAAACAAATACCCGCAGACTAGCACACATACAGAAGCACTGCACATACAAACAAACATACTCACCGACAGACAGACATTCATATGTATCTGCATGTCATTTTACAAAATTTTTGCATAAAACAACGAAATTTCATGGGATCAGTTCTTGAATGTGTTGTTCCCGACCACATTTGAGGCCAAAAATCTGGAATAAGGTTTTGTCTTTTTCTTTTTTCCTTCGTGCATAAAGTGAGCTTCAAAATCGCATTAATATTTTGATCTGTGCGTGAAAAAAAAGATAGCAAAATCGAGATTTTTTTTTAAATTCAGTTTCATTGGGAAATAATATTCTCAAATTTTTACCAGCATGCAGTCACTGTTTTTTGTACCTATATATGCAAAAGCGCAGATTGAAAGTGTTGTGTATGTTTGTATTTATGCCTATTTTTGTGTGTATGTTTATATGGATATGTTTGTGTGAATATGTTTTGTGTGTGTATGTTTTGTGTGTGTGTGTGTGTTTTATGTGTGTCTGTTATGTTTTGTGTGTTTATGTTTTGAGAGTGTGTGTTTTGTGTGTGTGTGTGTGTTTTGTGTGTGCATGTTTTGTGTGTGTATATTTTGTGAGTGTATGTTTTGTGTGTGTATATTTTGTGAGTGTATGTTTTGTGTGTGTATGTTTTGTGTGTGTGTGTTTTGTGTGTGTATGTTTTGTGTGTGTATGTTTTGTGTGTGTATGTTTTGTGTGTGTATGTTTCGTGTGTGTATGTTTTGTGTGTGTATGTTTTGTGTGTGTATGTTTTGTGTATGTTTTTTTTTTTTTTTGTGTATGTTGTATGTGCATACGTGTGTGTATGTTGTGTGTATATACGTATGTGAGTGTGTGTGTGTGAGTGTGTGTGTATGTGTGTGCATGAATGTGTCTGTATACATATGTGTGTATTGATCTTTTCGCATGTTGTAGATGCAGTTACTGGTTTCCAGTAACAGTTTTTGATTTTTTTTTTGAGGATGACCGCAGCAGATGTGCGTCGACATATTATGACGGGAAGTTTATTTTTACATCCACAACAAAGTATTATGCAAATGGATGCAACTGATGGAAGTCCTCAAACGGTACTCAAATTTTACTTCATACTTAAAACGATTGCTAGTTTACCAGTGATTCAGCATTGGTGCCATTTCCTTTCTTTTTCATTTCCTGGCTGTTTTGACCGGCACTGCATCGTGATTAGTCTTCTGGCGATCGGTTCGTTGGTTTTTTTTTTTTTCATTTACTTGGGAGTTTTTCAAAAGAAATAGTATATGAATGTATGAAACAGCTGAAAAAGTAATATCAAAAAAAAGTGATAATAGTAAAAAAAGCTTTCGAGAGTTTGCATTGCCGAAACTTCCTTCAATGTCAGTTTAATTTCAAATTAGAGTGATAACATACTGAGAAATTACACAGATTGTCCAGTCTGTTTCGGTGTATAACTCTCAGAGAAGCATATAACTCAGGATCAGTGGGGATGACTTACCTCACGCCCAATCTATCGATGCTGTAGTAAAACCAACAGTGTTGGTGACACTTTGATACGACTGAAAGATAATAAAAGAAAAATAATGTATAATTTTAAAAGGAAAATATAACTTTCTTAATTTTTGCAGGTGAATTTGATTGAAATTGTAGAACCATTGGATGTAGAGGATATATTGTCACAACGAAAAAACAGCTCCACAATTTATGAGCACTCTGCAAGTAACAGTAATTTAAGAAGGTATTTGATTTTAACAAAACTAAAAATAATCAACAATTCCTCCTCTACAGGCATTGTGCAAGTCTCATTTTAGTGATTTTACTAAAATGGTTCCATATGTCAAGTGAAGCAGCAGGAGGCCACTCGATTCTTAGCTACAACCTTCAATTAGTTAATAGCTACTGCTATTCCAAGCAGTTCTTGGAAGAGGTAGTCATTATCGTGAACAAAACCCTTTCTCGAAAATCATACTGAACTGGGAGGGAGTCGAACCATTCCTGTTCAGGTCCGGACGCAATGTGTTACCACTACACCACCGGTCCTTAGTTCAGTCTTACAGCACGCCTACTGTGTATCTGCCTTTCAGCACAGGACAAACCTCCCTTCTTTTTCCCTTTGTGGAGGCTTCTTGACTGGCTTTTCGTGGGTTTTTCGCGACGGTGAACTCGCTACAAGTGCCGTAAACAACAAGAGGTCGTAAGCTCCAAGTTGAGGAGTGGGTGGGAGAAAGACGTGTCAAAATCTGATAATGTCAAAATTTTTCACTGCTTTCAGGGTTGCTGAATTCCCGGTTGATGATGTTGAAGTGCGCCTTGTACATCGCGATCAGCAAACTGTTGAGTCGCCAGTTCCAGCAAATCTTTCAAGGTTTTTTTTCCTTGAACAATATTTGAGAGGTCTGCCCGAGCAACTCGGTTTTAACTCATGAGATCAAAAGTTTTAAAAATGCCAACCCTACTTGAGGCATTCACTTCCTGCACCTCTTTTAATGGTTTTGAAAAGCTGCTGCTGTATGCTTCTTTTTCATGTAACTTGTAATACTTCCAGTATTCTCGGGTTTTATGCTTGTCGCAACCAAGTAAGTACAGAAGAAGCTTTGTTAAAAATTTCTTTGAACTCTGCGAAAAAAATTGTGTTTTGGCTCCTGTTCCTCCTCCTCTCTCCATTTCCTTTCCCCTCCAGCACGTGGGTGTCTTTTATTTCGGTCTACAGCCCTGTCCAGTGCTTGATTTATTAGTCGAGTACTTTGATTATTGAGCAGCTATTGTTCAAAATTATCGCGCTTCTTGCCATTGATGCACCTGGCAGCTTCCTCGTTTCACTCCATTTTGGGCCTCCCTCATCCACATAATTCCATTTAGCCTTTCGAATGATTTCTGCGGAATTCGGTTTGTTCCAGCATTCTCTGCACCAGTTTCATCGAGACATCCAGTTTGTTGTGGAGGAGAAACTGCTTTTTGGTTCCTCAGGTCACTTTACCCCACAACAAATAATGAATTGCATTTCTGGTTCGTGTTCTCAAGTATCTCCAGTGCGCGCTAGTTGGGTGATTATACTGCCAGCAAATAATGCTAAATTCCCCGATTTCGGCAGCTAGCAGGCAGCGTGAATACCACCAGGCGTTGATTCCTAGGTCAGCTAACGTTGTTCCGTCGTACAATACTAACCAGCCGCAGACCCACTCGTTGTATCGTCGATTATTTCAAACGTGGGTAATATAACCTTTATCATACACAGACAATACGCGCGACACGAACGAATAAACGTCAAATACGCGGATATAAAAATGCATTAAAGAATAATACAAGAAAAGATGTGCAGCGCTTCGCCTCTTCATCGTCCGTAGTTGTTGCCCGTTCGTCGTTCCGTCCGCCATCTGTCGTCGTCGATCCACTGTCCACCGTCGTCGAATCCGTTAAAATGATGAGAAAGAAAGAGGGGAGGATAAGCGCCGTCGTAACATCTGTCGGCCCGGCATCTTCCTTTGTTGAAGACAAAAGTGCATGAGGAGGACAGTGCCTCGCGGAAAGAAATAAAGTTTAAAAGGAGTAAACATCTACATGTTAGAAAAATACATATTTTATACAGTTATTGCGAAATTGAGGTTTAGCAATCTCGACACTGTTTCGTCCATCTTTTGCCTGTCATTTTTGCCACATAACCGGTCATAAACTGCTGGCATAAAATACCATCTTCAGTCAGATAATGGAGTATTATGTTTGCCATTGCTAGACTACGATGAGGAACTTTCCCGACTACAAAAAAAAAACAGCTGTATAATATTAATAAAAATTCACTTACATGCTTGTTTTTGGCTTTTCGGGACAAAATTAGAATCATCAGCAACTTGTTTTGAAGCAACATTTCCTGGCCCCTTTACAGCAGAGAGTTTCTTTTCTAAAATTTTACTGCTGAATTTACGTTTGAGTGCTACTACCACTTATGCTTTCCCTAGGATGAGGAAGAAGAAGGACTTTTGACTTTGGTGAGGTGATAACAGCTGTTTATATTTGATAAATCGACACCCGGTACACGTCAAGAACATCTCAAAACGGCTAAATCCTTGCCAGTTGCTTCCTTCCTGAGAATCGTTTAGTTGGCGTCTCACTGGGAGATGAAATATGTCAGAACTGCTAGCAATCTGACCACCAAGCAGTGCAGCAACAGAAATTTATTGCAGTAAAATAATCGAATTAAAGCTAATCGAGATATAAATTATATTAATAAATAGTAGTAATAAAAAATCGCGAATTTTAAATTGTAATAAAAAATCGTAGTAATAAATCGCAATCAATGATTTATCGACTTTCCGGCCTTATCACAATCCTAGAATATTTAGTTGCAGCGTTGATCCGGTGGTACGTGATATGATACGAACGTACAGTGATGACTTCTCGTTGGTGCACAGGAAATATCAGCAATATTCAAGCGGCGATGCCTACGTACGTTTACTCACGGAAAGACCGATTATCGCCCAAACGGCACAAAAACAAATCTACGAAGTGGATTCCGAACGAACGGTCGGGAGAAGTGTTAGTACGGCTGGCGAGGAACAGGTATGTCTGCTGCTGACGGAGTATTTCGTTCGGGTGGCGCATAGCTTAGGAAAAATGATAGAACGAGGCAGAGAGCGGGCGGCGGGGGTGGGGGAGGAGGGTGAAACTTTGGGAATTTCATTTACATGAACGTACGGGCTCCAATCCCCAAAATGAGCGTTTTTACCCACGTAATTTCCACGTACGGGCCCGTCAAAGTTTTTGGCATGCTAACTCGGGAATCAGAAAAGCTGGAATTTCAAGGGGATGTTTTCTGGTAGTCCTGATGGCTAGTCTCAGTTCTTTTAGCTAGAAGCATCTGCTGGAAAAAACAGTACCATTAGCGGCAAAAACTTGCGGGTAACCATGCGAAATACGCATCTTTGCATCGGCGGTCGGTGCGCTGGCCATTTATTTGTCCATCGTACAGGCTTCAATTCCGTCAGTGGTACAGTTGATCCCCGTACAGTCCGCTCACTCGTTGAATGGTAAATTGATATAGCCATACACCATTGAGTCGAAATCGCCATCAACTTATAAGCAATCCCCTCGAAAGAGGGAGTCTTCTAAATGCATAATTGCTATTGGCATTTGCTACCACTCATACTATTGTAATTTTAATTTTAGATGATGTATGTTTATGTAAAAATTAAGAGCTAAAAAGAAGGGAATAAAAGGGAGGTGAATAAGATAATTCGGAATAAAAATAAGCGAAAACAGCAGCAAAAATTCCCTTTCCCAGCACAAATGGAAATTTATTTGCAAACCAAATCAAAGCAGGCCAACTTAATTTGAGATAAAACAATCCAAGTTAAGTGAGAATCATGTCAAGACTCATTTTTTGTTTACTCAAATATTCCAGGTAGCTAGTGTCTCTTCTTGCCTTCGATGCATCAGGGCCTTTCCCAGTCTCCTCTGTTCTGAGCTAGACGCATCCGACCCGTTCAATTCCATATAAGCGCTAAAGTGGAGCTTTGTTCGGCGATTTTAGGCCTTAGTACTCTTCCAATCTCTTTGCCAGGGATATTCATTGTTTGCATCTCTAAAATTTCTACAACACTTTGTTAGCCTTTTACCGGAACTCCAACAGCTTTTTGTTCGAATTTTTCAAAAAAATTAAAATTTTTGAAGCTTAGCCTGAAATTTTAATTTGTTGTATTTCTCCTCTCGTCCTTCCCCATCCTCTCCTACTCCCCTTCTCCTCCCCCCTCCCCCCTTCCCTCGTCCCACTGCCCCCTGCTTGGCCTCCTGAAAAAGAAGTGACGAGATTGAATTCTCTTTCACTAAATAAATATGCAGGTGGGTTCTATAGGAATATTTGTTGGCATTTTTTTTTGGTTTTCTGTTTTTTTTTTTAAATTTGTTTTTTTTTTCTTTTTTGGGCTGTTTTTTTTTCGATTTTTTTTTTGTTTGCCTTTTTTTCTGTGTTTGTAGCCTAGGGATGAAACACAGCAAAATCTACGTATTCCTTTTCACATACAACACATGTCCATACCTTTGCCACAAAATTGGCACCTATATAACCATCTTTTCTCTTCCCCAACCACTTCCTTCTTGTGTCCTTCTACCTTGGTCACTATTAGTCGCTACAGTTACGGATTGTTCATTACCTCCATTCTCCTCAGTTTCCTAAAAAAAAAACCCCAATTCTCACCCTCTCATGTTTGGAGGGCTTTCGCTTGAAATACTCGAAACAGCTGGTAATTCATACTGCTTATTTCTTGCGTTATGTAACTGGTAAGGTAGGAAGGGCAGTAGGGGCCGTAATGGCCGTATGAGCATCATATCAAGAAAAAGCTAGAAACTGCCCGCGGAAAGGGCTATAAACAAGTAACTTCTCTAGTTGCTTTGACCAACGCTGTATCATCTGATGGTTAACCTTCTGACGGATCTGTCGTTCGTTTCATGTCTTGAAAAGACTGCCAGCTCAGTAGTTTTCCCGACAGAATTAATTATGACCGTGCGGACGATTTGTTTCCGGATTTTTTTTTTCTCGGATTAGTCTGTTTTTCCGGGACGGAGCAGACTTTGAGGGTGAGGGAAGAGCGAGGGGGGGGGGGG